TTACCTTTAGAATATTTGAACCACTAAAACAAAGTTATAGTTGAGAACATAATATAATTCTATATCTAAATGGTATAAATAAAATAATATCACTAAAATAATATTTTAATATTTGCCAATTTTTAATTTTTAGGCAGACTAGACTAAGTTTTTGATGGTTAATATTAGCTCTAAATAAAACACTAATTTTCTGAAAATACTATCTCGAAAAATATTAATGGACAATTCAGAATAGATTTAATAAACAGTAACATATTTAGATAGGTATGTAAACAATAGATGTTTATATGTTACCGGCAAAGACTATAGTCAATAACGATATTTCCGATCAAATTAGACAGTAGGTATACGATATTGAGTAGGAAATAACGCTAATGTCCATTATTTTCAAGAAATGATGCATTCAGAAATATTTCTTAGGTATACCTAGGTATAGGTATCATTATAATGACAATAAATCCGGTAAATTTAATTTTTTTAATTTTTAAAGTAAAAATTCTTTGATAATGGAAAAAGATCACACCGGCTCGCGGGTACCCACAGACCACAGGTTGGGAAACAAAACTAAAATTAATATTATAGTTTAAATTTATTATTTTCATCTCTTTTTCTTAAACTTATTAAAAATGTATAAATTACATCTAATTCAAAATCGAAATGTAAAAAAAAAAATAGAAAAAATTTAAATTAGGTAGGTATACTTATATCAGTATATTATGTTATGATATATTATAATAATAGTATGTAGGTATATATTAGGTGTTATAATATGATTGATTTTGTGGTATTTTTATTATGATAAAGAGTATTAACATTTCCGTGTTAACTTTAATAGTACGTACAATAATTACATCCCTTACATGTATTTCAACTAAAAAACATGTACGTATAGAAAAAAAAAACAACTAAAATTAAATCCTCAACTTAAAAAGTTTTAAGTATCATATTATGCTCAAGGAGTTAGTGATTTGTATTCAATGAAATTAATTATAAAACACTATTATACTTTAAATAACTCATTCATTCATATTCTAAACAGTATAACATTCCATCAGTTAAATTCATAATACACCCTTTAACACAACATGAATTCACTTGAGTTCTTAGTCGTTTGTTTTGCTTCTCGGCATTCATCCACCCACAATTCGTAAAAAAAAATATAATAGATACTCGAAGAACCCAGAGTATGAATGCATCGCTTAACTTTAACATAAATACATTTATTATAACTACTAAATTGTATAAATCTATATTTAGTTTTACCTCTCGGTATTCACAGGTTAATTTATCAAGCCATCAGTATATTTCATTACCTACTTTTGTAGTTTGTATATGTATATTATATTATGTGTGTAAAACAAAACAGATATATTTATGAAATGCAATAAATACTTTATTGTTTCAATAATAAATAAAAAAAAATATTTAAAAAAATTTAAAAATGAATGAATAAAAACATCTTATTCGACCCAACTATTAATGTAAGGAAATAAATCGCAATGAAATCAATACATTATAATATAACGATATCTTATATAAGTGAAAAACTTCGAAAATTACATTCGCATTGTTCCTATTTTAACAAAACAAAACGTCTAATTCTGGGTTAAGCAAGAGGATTAGTATGATTGGGACTCACAGCGAGTTACCCTAGGTGTCTCCATGCTGCAAAATTCCATTATATAGAACAACTGAATAATTCAAAGTGACATTACTGATGGCAAGACAGGGATTGTTAGACCTATAAAGTGAATTCAGCTGAATGTGGAATTGACATTTATTTCTTGGAATCTCTCACATAAAATAGTCTAAGTTTACTGCTCAAGAAATAATGTAAAGTATGTGTGCTACCCAAAAAGCCGTAACTATAAATTAAATGCATAAAAATATATCTATTTTGAATATAATATCAACTTATACAGCCAATAACATAATAGTTCAATATTGTACTAATTTAATTAAAAATTAAAATTAAGTAGCCATCTAAAAAAAACTTATAAACAGACTATATTTTTAAGGAATTTATTAGGTATAAATAGCTTAACAAAATCCAAAATATTTTAAAAATTATATTATATGAAGTATTTAAGTCTATAAAATACTAATATAAATATTTGATGAAAATATCTAGTCTCTACGATTATTTCTTTCATAATCACAATTAAAAAACGAAATTATTTTTAAATCTTGCATTGAGTAAATAATCTAGATACCCCTTGATTTTCATTAGTTTTTCCCAATTATAAAAATTTATTTTGACCTCTCGAAGTACTAACTACATAAAATTTTCTTCCAGAATCCACCCTCAATGTTGAAAATCAGAGCAAATTTAGCTCCAAAATGTAATGATGGATACTAAAATAATGAATTTAAAAAAAACACATGTTATCATTGTAAAACAAACACATGCTTTCCCCTCAGAATCGAAATATAATAAAATATGATAAATAATTATGAATAAAAATAACTCAGTACTAATGTAGTGTATTGTGTGGAACAAAAACGTACGTCATCAATAAACAATTCGTTAGTTTTTATGAAACTTAATTAATTGAACACTTATAATAATTTATTAATTGGATTCTATAAGTACACTGCCCAAATATTTTATTTTTCATAATTGTATGCATGAAATATGAAGTGTGTGTACTAGTAAACTACGCAGTTTTATTAATATTATTCTCTCACTATTGAAAATTGTTTGTAATTTAACAAAAAACATCTAGAATTACTGGAAGTAAGTATGTATAAATTGTATTACTTCATAAACGTATGATATTGTAATATGTAGCGGAAAGAAACTAAAATGTGTGATACCTCAATCTTATTCACTTTTTATTTTACAATAGTAGATGGATTTTTGATTAAATTAAAATAATGTATTTCATTAAATAATTAGGCATGAATTAGGCAACAATTAGGTACCTATCTTTATTACTAAAATGTAATTTTGACTGTATTATTTATACTCCAAATACATTTAGAAAACATGTTGGTGTTTTATAATCCAACAATAGGTACTTATTACATAAATATTATTAGAGTACCTATACTAAATTAAGTTATATTTTAGTTAAGAATAAAAAATCAATTTTATAGATCTCAACATTAAATAATGTTAAGTCGTAACTTAAGTTTAAAAATGTATAACATTATTTTAACCATTGAATGGTACAGATAAGGTAAAGGTACAAATTTAGAATTTAATTTCAGTTAAAAAATATTAATACATATTTAATACCAAATTATTTAAATTACTCTATTACTGATCAATTTCAATAAATAATTAACCAATAATATTATTTTGTGTGACCATAAAAATAAAATGTTATTATTATTTTATTTAATAATCATGCTAATGCAACTTACACAACTACACAAGTATAACACGACATAACATGTAACAAATCAGTTGTGTATTAGTCACAGGTATGACTATGACACAGATATACAATGGACAAACAAAAAGTGACAAAAATAATGATATAATAAATGTGACAAGTTTAAAAACTATATTAAATCATCAATAGGTCATTGAAATTATAACAATGAATGAAATTTAAAAAACCACTATTATAAATGTAAAATTATGTTATAGGTACATTTGCATTGGCCATTGACATTATTTTTCTATTTGATCTTCATCGCTATAGCTTTTAATACACTGCCATTGTGTAGCATTATGCTAAATTTGTATACGTAGGTACCTAGTACCTACTACAATACAAATGTGTTGTATATGTTACGGCTAAAGTCCGAAACATGGTTAAAGTGCACATTATCCGGATAATGCGTACATAATCCACATAGTTGGATAAGGTAAACACTTAACATTTAGAATCATAGTTTCGTACATTAACCGGCTATTTTGTACATTATCCATTGATTGATGGATGAAGTAACTGGGTAGAAAAAATGTACAAAAAATATATTATTATATAATTGTAAGATATGAAATTACTTATGGTGCTATTTTTACAATGTGAAAACCATACAAAGATAAAATGGAACTATATAGAATATAGATAGTAGGGTCTACCATTTATCTTGCGATCATTAAATTTTATCGCAATCGCTTGATGTTACCTATAACATCAGTTTAAGTTTAGTTGTGTTCGGAGTAAAGTGTGAATAAAATGAGTTCAAAAGACGATTTTTACTTGTGTTTTAATAAATTAACTGCGGAAAAAAAACAGAACTCGATTTATTTATCACAAAAAAAATATTCTGAAATAATATTAGAAATTAAAAACGCTAAATCAAACAAAAAAAAAACAAGCACAGATTACCGACGTTTAAAAAGATATGATGTAATAACTATTGACGGAGAAGACAAATTGATTTATCCAATAGACGGTGGTGATTCAACAATCTATTACTACGTTCAAAACGAAAGTATGTACGATATTCTTCATGAAATCCATTATAATATAGGGCATGGGGGGAAACACAGAATGATTGCCGAGACAAAGAAAAAATATAAAAATATCACACAAGAAATTATATTAATGTATTTAAAGTATTGTGAACCTTGCCAAATGAAGCAAAAATGTAAAAAAAAAGGTCTGGTTACTAAACCAATGATATTCTCTGAAATGAATAGTAGGGCTCAAGTTGACCTAATTGACATGCAGTCACAAGCAGACGGGGAATATCGTTTTATTATGGTCTACCAAGACCATGTTACAAAGTTTGTTCAAATACGAGCATTAAAAACAAAACGAGCTGAAGAGGTTGCGAAACATATCATAGACATATTTTGTATTTTTGGTGCTCCAATAATACTGCAATCTGATAATGGAAGAGAATTTGTAAATCAAATAATTAATGATTTAAAATGTATGTGGAATAATTTGAAAATAGTTCACGGCAAGCCCCGACACAGCCAATCACAAGGTAGTGTTGAAAGGGCAAACCAGGATATTCAAAATATTTTAACTACATGGATGCAAACAAATAATTCAAAATCTTGGTCCGAGGGTTTGAGGTTCGTACAACTAATGAAGAATAGAGCATTTCACAGTGGTATAAAAAGGTCGCCATATCAAGCGATGTTTGGTAGTGATATCAAAATTGGATTATCGACGTCTATTCTTCCACCAGAAACTATTAACAATATATCTTCAGAAGAAGATTTAGAAAATGTATTGCAGAATATTGGAGGAAAAAGTGAAGAAAGCAATTCTGCAGATGCTAATCAGGTAAATAGAAAAAATAATAAAGAATACCTACATAAATAATACGATTTACAAAATGTTATACTAGGTACTATTTTTATTTTTCCTAGGACGAAGAAATACATAAAATATGCGAGTCTTGTGGGAATAATATTCAAGCAATATTAAACGAAGATGACAATCAACGGCGTATTTGTAATTTGTGTGCAAAAGAGGTAATTTATTTTCAAAATTAATTTTTACTATAATTATTATTATTTAAATTAATTTATGTTATACTAAAAAATTCCATACTCAAAAAAAACATATTTCCATAGGTTATTTATTTTATTATTATTATCAATTATAAAAACCAATGATTTGAAATTATAATGTCAACTTATTTTTTATGATGAAAATACTTTGATATTGAAGTATTTAAAGTAAACTTAAACTAAAGTATAAATTATTTTTTAAAGGTAGGTAGTGTAAAACTTAAATATATACGATTTAGTATATCTTAAATTGTGCCACCAACTAATAATAATGCTTTAGGAACCATAAAATATAAATTAATAATCAAATTATAAAAAACAGTAAAAACATATAGGTAAACAGCAAACACGTATTAGCCCATAATAATTTTAAGAAAAGAGTACAATATTGTGTACTTAACACTATTGTTAAGGGCACTAGGACACACGTCAAAAAAGAGTACTGTCCTACGAAAAAGAGTACGTCTGGTCACTATAAGTCTATAATAATTGATTCTATAACATCACGTGGCTGTTTATCATGTCTCGTTATCGGATATTGCATATCTAATATTTTTATAACTTTTCAGGGTATGGTTAAGTCTCAAAGAGACCTTAGTATAAAAGCATTACAACATCAAGCTGAAAAAATGAAGTTTAGGTCAATTAATAAGTTTCCACCTGCCAGCATCGGTGATACAGTTCGAGTCGCCATACCAGACGTGGATAGAGGTAGAGGAGATCCGCGAAATATTCTGTTTGCAGTAGTATCAATAAAAGATGGAGAATACTATGAACTAGGTAATAAAGAAGGAACGATAGAACAACATTACTCTAGGTCTCAATTTGATGTTTGTCCTGAGCCATTAATTACAGTAAACGAAGTGTCAAATACAAAAAAATCGTTAAGAGAAATCGCAAAAAATATGTCATTGTTAGGTGGTCAGGGTTATCAACGTTGTGCATGTAAATCAAATTGCAAAACAAATAAATGCAAATGCAAAGCATCTGGCATTTTATGCAATTCTAAATGCCATCAAAGTTTACCATGTTTAAATAAATAATACAAATAATGTTATCTAATAAATAGACATAAATAGAAATAGAAATAAAGTTAATATTGCATGAAATGTAGTTTAATATTTAATTGTTAACTTATATTAATCAATTTTATTGAAATAAAATATATATTATGAACTTATTAATAATATTTTACATTAGCCATAACACGATGGCTAAAGTTACTTTAGCCGGGTAATGTATACTTAATCCATTTCCTAATAGATTTTATTCACGGCTAAAGTCCGAAATTGGATAATATGTACATTATCCGGATAATGTGCACATTAGCTTAATTCGGACTTTAGCCGTAACATATATAAAAGATAATAAAATATATAGGTTTGCCTTAAAGTCATCATTGATCAATGTATACTTTAACACAATATATTATATTTCTATTATATCCATAGGTATTTTACTTTTTAAAAGATGTCATGAGTGATAAATACAAATAAAAATAAAATAATATATACATTTGTTGGTTATATTTAAAATTAAAAAAACTATTATAAATTATGAGAGGTAGGTATCTTCTATGATTGTAAACATAATCTACAAAGCTCTAGATTTTAGTACACAATACAATGCCTTTTACCTATGTCATATGTGTAACAAATTAGTAATCACAATACTATCTAGCACCCTACGTATAATATATTTTTCCGTTAATTAATAATTTTCTAGGACATTTTTCATATTTTTTTTAAAAATGTATTGGGGTTGTATCTCGGGTTATATGGAATTTATAAAAAAAAACATTTTTAAAAATAAGCATATTATTATATGAGATTGTGAATAATACAAAAGTGGAAAACAACAAAATTAATATAAATCACAGATACAAGAAGCGACCCGGCAATGAAACTTTTTGAATTTTATTATTTTTGCTTTTATACATTTTAATATTATCTTTCTAGCTATGAACAAATAATTGTAATTTAACTACTAAGGCATTGTTAAGCTGTATTGCGATTTGGAAAATACTTAACGTTATTTATACATATAAAATAAAGTACATACAGTGATAATGTGACTATAAAATATAATAATAGGTACCTGTCTAGTCTATTATACAAATATTATATGACTCAGTAAAAATGCCAAACATTTCACTTTAGAAGTTCTTCGATGTCGTAGATACTTTAACACCAATATGATTATATATTAAAATTATTAATATATTTTACAAAATACTTAGAAAAATAGACCAACAATTTGTACTTACAACATACAAGTCTATAAGAATAATTTTAAAATAAGTAATCAAGTCATTGAAATTTAAATTAGGTATATAATATAGAACAAATTGATGGTACAATATAAGATGTTCGATATTCGTTATCCAATAATAATTAATGCTGCACAAGTATTTAAGTGGACGCCACCCGTATGTGTGGTAACCGTCTTACAAAGTTACAAGTTAAAACTAATCAAATTATCGTTCAGTAGAACCAATATTGTGTAGTTGGTTTGTAAGACAAAGACAAGTAGCGTATGACACACAGTGTTAAAATAATTAATTATTTAAAAATTAAATTTGTTATTGAATATATTATTTATTTATAGGTTATTTTATTCTAATATTTATATATTAAATACATGATGATTATTAATTCACCTTATATTATTAATAACCTATTGCACATTTGAATACCTATTGAACAATATCTATTATAAATATTATCTACCATTACTTGGGTCCATCGTATTAAGTATCATAGGCACATCCAATTTTTAGAATTTATTTACAATTAAATAAAATCAAAGATTTTATACTAATAGAATTCCGTAATTTTAATAAACTTAATACAAACTGTTTGACTATTCAATACAACTATTAGTGTTAGCATTGAATAATTAAAAAGTACCTAATATTTTCAAGGTTATATTATTTGTTATTAAAAATAAATTAAATAGACAAACCCTATGGAACAAAAATATATTCAAATAGTCTCGTTGGCGTATGAGTGTGGTTTTTTCTAGTGTTTAGCATTTAGCATGGAAGGGGCAGTCAACTCGGAGTACGTACTAACACACACACATACATTTACACAAACACTCACACGCAACAAGTCATCCAACGCACCAGACAAGAGAGGTGACTAACCTCGTGGGGGCCCTCCTCGCTCTTCTATCGTTGTCGTCGTTGGTGGCGGCATCGGCACGGGCATCTGCCACCACATGTTGTAGGTAAGTACTCTCGCAACGGTTACACAATTTGTTCGTTTTACTTTCGTGTTCATATGGAAACCTTAAGTAGTATTATTTATTTTTGACCCTGGTATTGAATGACAAGCGTTTAGTATTGTAACTTATAAAACTAGATATTTTCTCAATTTTGGAAAACAGTAAAAAACATGAAAGGAAATTTCAAATTTGTCAAAAAAACTTGTAAAATTCTTTATACTCAACTTTATATCATTTATTGTCAAAATGTATAATATTCAATTTATTTTAATCTTAATTAGCTATTATTTACTACATTATTTTACTAAAAAAATTATTATACAGTATGATCACGATATTAGGTACCACTGAATATCTCAGATGTGTGTCTTTGTATTGAAATGGGGTTTTCGGGAGGTGATAGGAAGCACTTAAATACATATTTTAAGACTAGATTCAAATTTTTAGCTCACTCGGTAAGCGCATGCGCAATACGACTTACTTTTTTTTAAGTAGCAACCCCAGTTTTTTATGCAGATTGGGGTAGAGTATTTTTTTTTTTTGAACATTTATTGTATAACAAGTTTTTTTCTATTTTCAAAACTGACCAAGTTGGAGTAAGTCAAAAATTGGATTTATGCATAATATGTGTTTAATGCAATTTTCATTTATAACCACTGGAAATAATAAAATAAGGTCCAAATAAATGTTGAATGGGGGACGGAGTGGCCGAGCGTCGGTTTGAACTCGGCCATGGGTGGCATTTTTCTTCTGGCAGTCACGGTGTCCGGAGGCTAACACGGCGACATCCCCCACCTGGACATGGCAGATACCTACGTGTGTGTTTGTTTGGGCAGAATTTTTAAGTGGGCACCTATAGGTATCTGACATGCCAGGTGTGAGCCTCTCTCTCCGGACACCGTGACTGTCAGAAGAAAAATGCCACCCGTGGCCAAGTTCGAACCGGCGATGGTGCGCGTCGCAACCAACGCCGTAGTCCGCTCGGTCACTCCGTCCCCCATTCAACACATCTGAGATATCCAGTGGTACCTAATATCGTGATCACACTGTATATTTATAGTTCTTAAAACAGAAACAATGGACAATGGGTAATGTACATATTATTATTATATTAATCTCACATTTGTAACTTTATTCTTTTAATTATTATCAAAGAAAACAACGCCAGGTTAAGGGTTGCAATTGGCAAGGTTGAAATGTTCCCTTCTAATCACAAATGTGCCGATATTTGGCTAGTCTACTACTCTGCTGACCCGATGGCTTATGGCCAAAAACCGACGGTCATTTGGACACTTTAATCTCACTACTGCAGAATTCGGACTCTCTTTATTATTAAAACAAAACGTGGAACGAACTTATATAATATCTTTATAGTGGCCTATTACGGAGCGGTGGTTGGCTTCAGTCACAAACATGTTCTGAAGCCAAACATCGGTGTCACTAGTTCCCGGATGGGTGACCACCCGGGTTTTAGTGACAAATCCTAACCATATATACACGTTTTCTAACCAACCGTACACTCCCCAACAGTTAAAAACCTACTAAATAACCTTCAGGCTAATGATCATAAATGTTGAACCCTTAACTCAATAAAAAAAAAATATATCTTTATAGGGTTGATTGAATAATTAAGTGAAGGCTGGCCAAAATATTGACCCTTTTCAAAAACTATGTATTATGACACTATTCTGCAAAGAGATAGGGTTACTACTTACTTGACAGTTACAGTAGACAATAGTAAACATAATAAATTA